TTAATAAAATTTAAAAAAAGACTAAGTTATAAATTTTTCAAGTCGAAAAATTTTTATAAAATATTTTGAAATTTTGAACAATTGTATTTAGATATTTATTAGAGGTGTCCCAGATAAGCTATCTGGCCTGATATCCGGGCTGGATATCAATATTATTCAATATCCGTTATCTGGCCGGATAATAACATTATCCGGTTTTCGATAAACCAGATATTTCAAGTTGAAATTTAAAGATTTAATAAACCAAGAAATGTTATATTTTTAAATATTCTAATGTTAATGTTTTCTATTCAAAATTGTTATTATTATTAATAATAATTTATTATTCAAATACTATTAAACTTAAACGCAACAAACACATCAGTTTATCTTTCATTTATAAATTTATTTCCATTATGATGAATATATAGTAACATTTCTCCACGTTTAGGTAACAGCCTCGATCGCTTTTTCTCGAAAATATTTCCATATTCGGAAAACAATCGCTCCGAAAATACAGAGGATGCTGAAGGTGCTAATAATTTAAGAGCTAACTCTTTTAGAAGTGGAAACTTCTCTTCATGTTTCCAGTAATTAAAAACGTCTTCTTTTTTTTCTATAATCGAGTGATTAACGAAAAAGTCAACTTCTTGAGCAGCTTTTACAAGCGAGACTTGATCAGGATTTGTTTCACTATTTTGTTCTGTAATATAAAGCAATTTAAATACTAAAGATTATTTATTTATACATTTTATTCAATAAAATGTATATAGTACTTAAATCAGCAAACCAACAACATGCAGAATATAGCTAATATTAAAAATAAAAACTTACTTAAAAGTTTTTCTGTTTATCAAAAAAGTTTTTAAAATTATTAAAAAACTTTTTTAATAAACAGAAAGAGATGTTCTTACCTAAATTTCCTTTATACTCTGTAAGTTCTAAAAAGCAAGAGTTAAAGTCATTCTCTTCCAAATCAACTTTTTTTTTTTTGGAATTTGGCGTTAAATGATTGGAGATGGTGGCGGTGGAGCTGGTAGCTCTATTAATAACAACTGGTGAAAGTCCAGTTATATTTCTTTGATTTTTTACTACAGCATCTAATAGCATTGATCTTGCTTGTGTTCTCTTATCAACAGGAAGAAATTTGAGCTTGTAGCGAGGATCAATAATGGTGGGTAAAACATATCTTTCATCATCTGTTATATTGAGATTATCATGAGAAAAGAATCTCTTATTTAAAGATTCTATAAGTTGTTTTGTTATTTGAACTGCATCATCTTTTTGATCAATTTTTGAAAAAAATCTTTGAAAAAGTACATATATTCGGAACTACTGTTGATAAACTACAAAGTTCAGAACTCATAGCATTAGTAAGTTCATAAAAAGGCTTTAAAACATATAATAAATTTTCAATGAATTTCCAATCATTTGATGCAAATGTTAGCAATTCATTATGATCAGCTAAATACATTTGAACTGCTCTTTTAAGTTTTTGAAGTCGCTCTAACATTAAGTACGCACTATTCTAGCGAGTAGGCACATCTTGAACCAAAAGTAGAGGTGTGTTTTCATTTTGTTGTTGTTGCAGTAACTTAAATTCTGTACATGCCTTTGGTGAATGATTAAAGTGGCCTACTATTTGACGTGCTTTAGCTAATAAATCTATCACTAATATTTGGGATAAAACTGCATCCTTTATCACGAGTTGCAATAAGTGGATTGTGCAATGGACTGATGATATTTGAATAAGTTTACTGCCTAGTGACATATTAGCAGCACCATCTTTGACTAAAATATGTCTTCTTGGTGCATTAATTTCCCAGCTTTCTAACATATTTATAAATTTTCCAGCTATGTTTATCCCTGTGCGAGCTTCTGGAAAATGTGAAGCATAGAGTACAGCATCTTTGTGCTCAAAATTTTTTTTAATCCAATGTCCTGATAAGGAAATAAATGTTTCATGAGGAAATAAATGTTTCGGACAAGTCCAAATATCTGAAGTAAAACTTATGTACTGTGACTTAGCAATTTCATTAAAAACCTTTTTTTAATTTGATCATACAATAGAGGAATTGCTGTCTCCGAAAAATAATGCCTACTTGGGATTAGGTATCTTGGTTGTAAAAAAGCCATTAAACCAATAAATCCATCATCCTCGGTTATACTAAATGGTTGATTATCTAAAGCAATCATAATAGCAATTTTTCTATGAATTTGCTTAGACTTTTCATCATTAATATCCCATATCTTCTTTGATGTAAAACTATCTTCAACAGACGTCTGTTTTTGCATTTCGCACTTCTTCTTTGAAATCAATGAACTACATTTTGAACTTCCTTGAGCAGCTGAAGAACATTCCATTTTATAATTTTTTTCCTCTTCGTACAATTTGCAATGAAATTTTTTTTGCATGATTATGCAGCGGAGTTGTAGAAAATGACTGCTGACCAGATTTACTACACCCCCTGCTTATCTGCTTTCCACATGGAATGCAAATAGCAATGGAATCACAGCTATCACTAATTTTAAAAAGTTTCCATACAAAGCTCCCCATTTTGAAAGGTTATTACAGTAACTTTTGTCTTAATTTAATATTTATCTAAAAGTTAAATAACATTATCCGTATCCGGCCAGATATCCGGCCGGATAATTTTTAAATATCCGAGTATCCGATATCCAGTCGGATAACTGAAAAATGATATCCGGGACACCCCTAATATTTATAATTGTGTTTGGATTTATTTTCTTTATTTATGCACTTTGTGTAAACTGAAATTAAATTTTTTATATTTAAGTTTAAAAAAAGAAAAAATATCTATTTTAGAACTTCTCCTTTAGAAGAAAGAGAAGCAAAATATATAAGAGTTGTTTCAAGTTCAATGCTTGCATTTGATTATATTATTAAAAATGCTGATTTAAAGATGTTTGAAGAATCTATTAAAGTCTTTGCTGCTGATAAAACTTTTTGGAAGTATTCTAAACACTCTTCTGGTTTGGTAAGACAATTTTAAAGCGTGTGTATGTGTGTATATATATATATATATATATATATATATATATATATATATATATATATATATATATATATATATATATATATATATATATATATATATATATATATATAAGCGTGTGTATGTGTGTATATATATATATATATATATATATATATATATATATATATATATATATATATATATATATATATATATATATATATATATATATATATATATATATAAGCGTGTGTATGTGTGTATATATATATATATATATATATATATATATATATATATATATATATATATATATATATATATATATATATATATATATATATATATATATTTATATATATATATATATATATATATGTATATATATATATGTATATATATATGTATATATATATATATATATATATGTATATATATATATATATACATATATATATATATACATGTATTATATATATATATATATATGTATATATATATGTATATATATATGTATATATATATATATATATATATGTATATATATATATATATATACATATATATATATATACATATATTATATATATTATATATATGTATATATATATACAACCCTCGGAATTAGGAAAAATGAGGTTGGCTATAATTTGCCGACCTCAATCTTTTAAAGGTTGGCAAAAAAAAAAAAAGGTACATAGTTCTTACCATAAAACATAGAAACAAGGTCGGCAATTTTTTGCCGACCTCAAACATTTTAAGGTCGGCAGTTAGGTTGGCATTGCTGACCCTAATTCTGAGGGTTGTATATATATGTATATTTTATATATATATATATATATAAATATATATATATATATATATATATATATATATATATATATATATATATATATATATATATATATATATATATATATATATATATATATATATATATATATATATACGTATTAGTGCTTGCATATATCTTTGCAAGAGTGCAATTATCAGGTGTAAAAAAAAAGTTTTTTTACACCTGGTGATTGCATTTAGCATGAAACTTATAGTTGTGAAAAATATGCAGTTTTTTTTATAAATAGTATATGTAAATACAACTCTGTTTTAATTTAAATCATTTTAATTTATTTTAATTCATCAAGCACTCTTGCGAAGATACATGCAAGCCCTAATATGTAAATATATATATATATATATATATATATATATATATATATATATATATATATATATATATATATATATATATATATGTATATGTATATTAAATAAAGTATTAAAAGTATTAAATAAAGATTTTAAATGGATTGCAATGAATTCTTTTTATACAGCAAGATTGTAAATGCAAGGAACCTTAAGTTTATTTAACCTTAAGGAACCAGTATTAAGTTGAAAGTTACTATAAAATAATGAGTAGAGTTAAAGAGCAAAAAAACAGTTGACAGAAAACTTAAAAAGTTGTAGATTGTATGAGTCAGAAAATCATGAAGATGAGAAAGACTTTCAAAGGGTTAACGAAAAAAAACACTAGATGAATAAAAGTTTTTAGAAAATGCAGGGACAGATACAGTAAAAGAATGGAACTTTGCTGAATGACGAGTCATGCAAGAATGAGTTTTTGTTGGTGGAACTAGAGATGGTAACTCCTTTGAGCAGCAACCATGATAGTATTTGTATAATAGAAAATGGGATGCAACTTTACGACAATGGATCAAGTTTGGAAAACAGAGCAGGTCCAACTAGGTTTACATTTTTGGACTTTGTCCAAAAGAGAAGAGAAAGAGCATCATTAGAAGAACTAGCCCAAATATGACAGCAGTATTCCATACATGGGCGAATAAGAGATTTGAACAGGTAGAGAATGAAATCAAGAGTAAGAAAATGCCAATCACGATAAAGAAAAGCATGTTTAGCAGATACTAACTTAACAATCTATTGCATGTATAGTTTTCATGAGAGGTCAGTAGTGTTCAATAATCCAAGTAGATAAACGAGAAGATGTAAAGAATAGATTTCAGTGAGAGCGTAGCTATTCATCAATAAAAGATATAAACAGTATTGCAATAGTTGTTTGCAAATTTTTGTATTTCAGTAGAGTTTTGTTGGAGTTAAAATTTACAAGTTGCAAGGTTTATCAAGACCATTTTACTAAGTATTGCATTGTGCATTCATTAATAACAAAATGTGCTACTGAAGTTGCATTTCAACTTATGGATATTTTTTTAACATCACAGATGTTACAATCAAATAATGAATCGGAATTTACTACATGTGTTATAAATGTTACATGGTTATGATTAACTCGTGGTTTACAGGAAGCCTTGTTACTAGAGATGCAAAAAACCTGTTTTTTTGCTATCATGTTTTTCACCCAAAAAAATGTTTTTTTATTTTTTTTGGGAGTTTTTTTGGCTTTTACAGATCCTCATAGTGTTTTTGTTTACTTTTAACTTTTTTAAAATGTTTCCAACTTATCTTAAATGTTTCTATTTAGTTTTGTTTGAGTATTTTAGGTTCTATATTAGATTATATTAAAATAATCTATTTGTATTTAGGCATGAACAGAGTTCACAAAAGAGTTAAATTGCTGATTTTTTCATTGCTAAAATGGTTAACAAATTATTTGTTTTTTTCAAAATTTGATTTCAAAAATTGATAAGAAACAATTTTATTTTAAGTTTTTTTTATTTAAAACTACAGAATAATCTTGGCTAGAAAACTCTGATTCTTGGTCAAAATTCTTCATCTGAAACATTTATTGATTCATGAGATTTGTTTGAAATATTTATTGGTTCTTTAGGCAAAATTGGTTGTTGTGTTGCACACATATCCATTGCTTCAAGTTTTAAACTTTGTGATACAAACACTAATTTTACTTCTGTTTTATTTGTTAATCTCTTTCTTTTGGCACTGAATATTTGCATAACTGCTAAAACTTCTTTTGCAAGCAGCAAAATTAGCAAATATAGCAGGAGACTGAAGAATTTTTGCTTTGCTTTTGATAATTCGGTAGATGAACATAATCTCTTCCACCAGTTTCGACCAAACATTAGGTCAATAGCTGCCCATATGAAAGTTTTTAAAAAAGTTCCTCCTTTACATTGGTAATTTGCTAAATCATCCATCAAAATATCTATGTTAGTAATAGATGAGTTTACAGCAGTTGAATATATTACTTCACATGCATCAATCTGTTAAAAAAATTTAGATATTGCATTAGTGGTTTTACTTAGTTTATAAAAAGTTAATAAAAATAAGCAAGTTACTCATAATTTAACATTTAGTTCCCATTTAAATATCTTCCTTGATATTTGGGTTCAAGTAGATTAGCAGCTATATGAATTTTTGTTGAGCAAAATATTTTTTTTTACCAAATAGTTCTTTCATTTCTACTGCCTACTATTATTATTATTTTTAAATTATAAAAGATTTCAATTATAGACAACACATTGGGCTGTCGGCTTCTGTTATCTTGATTGCATCAGCTATTGGTGCTAGCAGCTTTAAAAATCCTTGAACCTTATCCTAAAAAATATCTGATAACAAGTTATTTTTTGTTGTAGAATTTAATACACATTGTTCAGAGATGGCCAAAGATTTTAAAGACTGTTTTTTTTTCTGTATACTCTCAAGACCATAGTGGAACCCCATCTATTAATAAATAGATTTTAATCACAAATCCTAATTTAATAATATAAAATTAGAAATAAAATAGATTACTATATAAAGCTATGTTTTAATTAATTGTATAAGAATAACAATTACCTGGTCATTACCAGTAGTTTTAATGAAATGTTTCAATCAACTGTTGATTTTTGAATTTCTCTAAATATTGCACCTAATATGTGAGAGTTTTTTCCTTTACAATATCTGTTGCTTGTGACATTGACACACAAAGAGTAGGTATTTTTATAAAATCATTAAAAAGCAAACTGAGACCATGAGATTTACATCTATAGCAATTAAGAAGAGGATACTTTTTTTTAATAGTTTCCATGGCTTTTTCATGTTTGCTGCATTGTCTATTACTGTTCCAAAGACTTTTTAGGACTAATTTCTTCTAATATTCTCCATATTTCATCTGCTATGTATTCACCAGAATGACTTGATGAACCTGAAAATTATTACTTTCATGTAAGTACTTTACAAATTGTTCAGTTATAAATCTAGAATAAGTTTTGAATGTGAAGAACCAAGTTAAGAGTTAGGAGAGAGTTAAAAACTATTTAAAAAAAAAAATGTATTTATTATTTATTCAAAAAAATAAATATATATTTATGTAAATTTTACCAGAAGGCAATGATTTCCATAAAATAAGCAATGATGAAGGCATTGTCAAGACAAAGTTGATAATTGCTTGATTTCTTCAAAATGTAAATAGTTTTCAAGTTTTAATTTTTAAATTATTCGCATAAATAATACATTAGTATTTTTGTTTAACTAATACTCATGTAACATTACTCTATCCATCACACATAAGTCCTACAGAATCTGCTATTGCAATTAATTCTTGAAAATTGCTTGATATTCTATTGAATTCTTATTCAAAAGTGTGTTTAACACATCATACCTTGATGATAGCTGATAAGCTGGGCATAAGTTATTTAAAGAGGTTTTCCAGTATTTATTATCAACTAAACTCATGTGTGACCCACTTGCGTAAATAGCTGTAGATGGGTGTGCATCAATTGATTCCTATAACATTATTAATCTCAGGTAAACAATTAAAAACAAATATACTATGCAAAAAAAAAAAAAAACATAACGTTGATACCTTATCACATTGTTTCATGCTATCAAACATTGAACAGGATTTACCACTTTTAGAAATTGGTTCTGAATGTTTTAAAGGGTCTGAAATAGTGTTTATGACATTTGTACTATTACAATGCTTACTTGAAATAAAGTTTTTAAATTTGCATGTTGCTTTACTTTGTGTTGTTTCTGTCATGATTTTTTTTGATATGACTGTGTCATCATTTAAAGATTTGTATTTGACTTCAACTGGACATTTTCTATTTTTGTATTTGACTTTAATTGCAAATAAATTAAATGAGAAATTTAATTTATTTGCAATTGTAGAAATAAAATTAAAAAACAAAAAGCAATATAAAAATAAAATAATATAGCAAATAATAATAAAAAATATATAGCAAACAATAATAATAAAAATAAAATAAGATAGCAAAACTAAAAAAAACAAACATTAAAACTATGCAAAACTTATAAATTTTGCAATGCAGTGTTAGTTCATTTATAAATTAAAAAACTTCATTTATAAATTAAAAAAGTTCTCATTTATTCTATAAATTACAAAAACTAGTTTTCATTCATTCTGTTAAAACATTTGGTTTTAATGTTAAGGAAAAATTGTTTTGAACTCAAAAAACATATCTACATAAAAAAACAAAAAAAAAAAATCTTCTTTACTTATAATGAAAAGGTTAAAAAAAGAAGATCATTTAGCTACTATGGATTAAAGTGTAATACATACAAAAATATTATAACAAGTTCTATAGCACATGTTGTAGCTGTTTCTCTAACTAACAAACAAATTTTGGATGAAGTAACACCTCTACCAGATATCAAGGCAATAAATTAACAAAGTAAGAAAGTAAAACATGCACAAGCAACAATGAACTAATTTCAGACAAAATTGAAACTCTACCTAATAACAACACACTAAAGGGTTGCAACAAAAAAGCCAGTGTGCACTAATTGTGCATTAAGCAGAAGTTATGATTAAAGAAGTAAAATCATCAAAGCATTTGCAAACAAAAGAGATAGTATAACAATACCTATACCTTTAGTAGACATTGATCGCGGAGACCCTAAAAACATACTTGGAATTATACTTGACCACAATAAAAATGATTTATTCCCTATAGCAGTAAATGGAGGAATCTTGAATGGAAGATATTAAAGAAATCAATTTGACTTATGTAATCAAAAATTTTTATCTGGAGAAGACATTAATCAAAATGAAGAAATTAGTCTGAGAAGCGCTGTTTAACCTCAATTAAAACATTCTCTAAAAGATCTTTATAATTTCTTGCATTAATTTTTGTTGTAATAAAACATATTGCTTTTATATTATATAAACATATATTGTATATGTATATATAGCTTATATGCATACACATCTTTTCTGCTAATTTACATTGTCGTCATTATTTTTATAGCTATTAAAACGTCAATAAGTATATATCTATTAATAAATTTTTGGCATATAAATTTAACGAATGGTCACAAAGGAACAGTGAATGCTTGAGGAAAGAATGAAGTACACTAGAATAAAGTAGAATTATTTTTCAAAGAAAGACATTTTTTTAGACAGTTGTCAAGACTAAAAAAATATATAACTTGTTTCTCCACACACATTACCAAATCATATGAAACATAAAAATACTTATTAAAAACTATAAATTAAGAATATTTACAAATATAACATTTGGTTAATATTTGTTCAATGACATACCTTGTAATGCATGTTTATCAAATTTAATTATCTAAAAATCTTTTGAACTTTTGTAGTTTGTAGTTAGAAAAATCAAAAAATTTCATTTATTATCTCATAGTCAATTTTTTCTACATGAGGCAACAAGTATCTCAAAGATTATTATAAATTTTTATTTAAATTATGTTTATGTACAAGTAGCACTAAGTTAAACAATATAAATATAAATAATCATCAAATGCTGTAATAATATTTAGATATAAAACTCTTTTGATACTTTGTGCTTTTTATTTTTGCTTCGAAATCAACATTTTTATTATATCAATATCACAGAGATCAACATTTTTATTATATCAATATCACAGAGATCAACATTTTTATTATATCAATATCACAGAGATCAACATTTTTATTATATCAATATCACAGAGATCAACATTTTTATTATATCAATATCACAGAGATCAACATTTAGATCACAAGCTACTTTACCCTTCAGTTTATTAGTCTGAATATTAAGAAGTATATTAAGAAGAATATTAAGAAGTACTCCAACTTTTTTTTATAGAATCCAGATCTCCTTTTTTTTTCTCTTTATAAAAAAATCTCTACATTATCAAACTTCTGATTCCAAAATTGACCTTATTGCACAAGTTTTAAAATGTTGACTTTAATCCCAATTAAAGCTTTATATGTAGTAATCATGTATGTGAATCGAGGCACACAATTTGAAAAAGTACCAAGTCTTAGAAAAATAAAATTTTAGTTATTACCAAATCTGAAAAGAGGAAAGAAAAATCTAAAAAATTTAAAAATATCATCTTTTTAAATGACAGATTTATACAGATTTTAGCAAACTTTTGCATGAAACATTTTGGAATATGAGTCAGAATTAATGATCATTTGCTAATCTGTTGCTAGCAGATAAGCCAACAAGTCAAAATTATTAATAGTTTGAAGTTTTGATCAGCTAACTTAAATGCTTAGTTGACTAGCTATCCTAAGGTGTTTTTACAGGTCACCAACAAATAAAGACATAGGTAAGGTAAGTTATAAATGTTATAAATGTTAGGTAAGTTATAAATAAAGGCTTAGGTAAGATAAGTTATAAATAAAGACTCAGGTAAGGTAAGGGTAAAAAATTATATATACAAATAAAGACTCATAGTTTTATTTTATTAAATTTATAAACGAACAGTTATAAGATTTAATATTATAATTTTTACATACATAAGGGACAAATTTCAAATTGGTTGTTGCGTACCAACTTCTTTTATTTTTTGTTGACATTTTGCTTAGATAAAAAATATGCTAAATATTTACATTTAATTTTCATTTAAGAAAGACATTTAATTTTACAAAGTTTGGCTTTCTTTTAAGACTCAGTTTGAGTTTATAAAAGTCCAAGATTGATTTTCAAGACTTTTTTTTAAGGTCATTTAGTTTAAGGTCATTTTTTTTCTAGGTTTTTTTTCAAATTTTTTTTTTAAACTTCTTTTCTATTTAGATACGTTCATCATTTTACACTTTAATCTTAACTTGCTTGCTGAAGTCCACAGTTATAAGTGAATATATATCAATGTTAGCTTCAACTATTCTCAATTCTTTTGATGAGCAAGACTCAACTGTTGTTCGACCATTGTGGGATTTAATTTTGATTTTTACATCAAAGTTCCAGGTAACTAGTGTATTTTTATTAACAAATATAAATTCATTAAAGTTCTATAATGTATATATATATATATATATATATATATATATATATATATATATATATATATATATATATATATATATATATATATATATATATATATATATATATATATATATATATATATATATATATATATTGTATGTGTATTTTTATTAACAAATATAAGTTTATTAAAGTTCTATAATGTGTATAAATATATATATATATATATATATATATATATATATATATATATATATATATATATATATATATTTATATATGTATATATATGTATATGCATATATATATATGTATATGTATATACATATATATATGTATATGTATATATATATACACACATATATACACATATATATGTATATATATATGTATATGTATATATATACACACATATATACGCATATATATGTGTATATATATGTATATGTATGTATATATATATATATATACATATATATATATATATATATATATATATATATATATATATATATATATATATATATATATATATATATATATATATATATATATATATATATATAACAATCAGTTACAAAAAAAAATTCAAAATTAGAAAGCAAGTCAAATCCAGAATTTAATTGCAATGAACTAAAGCAGTCGTAGAAATGCATAGTGTCAAGGCGTCATCGCTCTTAAGAAGCCAGGTGTGTTGGAACATTCAAAAAAATTCAAAGATGTGTTGGACAGTTTCTCTGCATGATTGCTAGAAGAAGTCATCATCCTTCTGTGAGGGGATGTAAGTTTTATAAGGTATGTGTGTACGGCAGTAGGAAATGAAAGAAGAGCACAACTTGAAATCAAGAAGCAGAACCATGATGAAATGTTTGATAGAATGTAGCAGAAAAGTGAAATAGATATGCAGGCCTCATTAAGATGCATTACACTGTACACATTCTATGTACTAAATGACAATTTCACCTTTGCGTTTACCAATTTACGCTAAGCTAAAACAATATTTAAATGTCATTTATTAAATGACAGAACTTGTAATGAATGTTTATCAACTTTAAAAAACAAACTATTAAATGATCTTGTCCTCGAACACACAACAAAGAGTTAGGCATGTGGAAGCATGGGTATTTAGATTGTTTTTTGATATTGTTTATGTGTCATTTATTTAGATAATGGTAGGCCGTAATAAATTATTGTAAAAAACATGTTAACCGCATTTGTGAAATAGTTTATTTTTATAAAAAAAATCAGATTTATAATAATAAAAAGCAGATACATAAATAAAAAAACATATATAATAAATTTTTTTTTAATCGAAAAAATCGAAAAAAAAAATCAAAAAAAAGTTAAATATGATTTTTAAAATTAAAAATTAAAATTTAACTTTGAAGAAATGTAAAATAGTTTTGCAATATTTCTTTAGGAAGTAATTTTTTTGAATTTATTTGCAAACAAAGTCATTGTTTTGTCTTAATCATAGATTAAATTAAAAGCAACAAAAAAGCTTGATTTTTTGAAAGTATTTTTTTGAAGAAAATTTTCTTCACATATGGAATTAAATTTTTTCGTTTCTTAAGTCAATAGCACATGTTTAGGACATAAGTTTTATTAATGAATATAAATTATGTTTACAAATATCTTATTAGTAACTGATGAAATATATCTATAAATTATTTAAAATTTTTATTAAAAATAGTTTATTAAATATGTAAAAAAACAAAAACAAACAAAAAAATAATAAATTTTGATAAAGCAAGCAGAACATTATATTATATATAAAATCGTTTTAAAAAATAAATAATAGGGAAGTATAATCTTTTTCGAATACCGAATTTAGATTGCATTAATAATTTTTGTTATAGTTTCAATGTTTAAATGATATGCTAATGATGCCATTTAGCTTTCAACAATATAAATATTGTGGAGACTTCGAGGCAGTGGAGACTATAACAATCTTTTAATTGCGCAAAATAGTATTCTTAGCCTTCTCTACAAAAAAAAGAAAAAACATTTAGAAAATAAAAAAAATTTAAAATGCAATTAAAAGAGGCTATTTTCTGCATTTTATATCAAGCAGTCTGCGTTTCTCACTTAAGTCTGATATTTTATATAATATTTTTTTGTTGAAGCTAGAGTTGAAGGCAAAAATTTAAAATGAGACTGGAACCAGAGTTAATTTTAGCACATTGGCTCTAATGCCCTGGGCCTTGTTACAAGATTCGGTGGCATAACAGAAAAACATAAAGGATGTAAATGTAACTCAACTCAGCTTACATATTTATTTTGTGAAAAGTTAAATTGCTTTATTCATGTATTCTAAAGTATTGTAATAATATTTTAAACCATGTTAAAATTCATTTTAAATTTGTTTAAACGATATAAATTTTATAATAAAAAATTATATTTTCTTATTTATTTCTTAAAGCTATCTTATAAATAACATAATCTTTTGTTTGTTTTGACACAACTTAGTTTTTTTTTTGTCAGCGATTGTTTAAATTTCTTTAAGTTGCTTAATTACTTTATCAACTAATTAATGAATTATTTTACAGGTCTTGTTCTTAGTTTATTTGGCAATGCTTTTATAAAAACTTAGTTTAAGCACTTTCTATACTACATATAGTATATATGTGTATATACTATATGTATATATGTGTATATACTATATATATATATGTGTATATACTATATGTATATATGTGTATATACTATATATATATATATATATATATATATATATATATATATATATATATATATATATATATATATATATATATATATATATATATATATATATATATATATATCTGTGTGTGTGTGTGTGTGTACTATATGTATATATGTGTATATACTATATATATATATCTAAATATATATATATATATATATATATATATATATATATATATATATATATATATATATATATATGTATATATATATATATATATATGTATATATATATATATATATATATATATATATATATATATATATAAATATATGTGTATATATATATATATATATATATACACATGTTATAGTGTATATAGATGTTATAGTGTATATAGATAAGCAATTGCTTACTGGTTTATCTTTATAGGAATCAGCTTCATAAATAGAAGAAAAAAACAAAGAATAATTAAAAAAAAGATTGTTTCCCCATCCCAAAACCTCAGTCAATGTAGTGCAGTAGCATATAAGATATTCTATGTGTGTACTGAAGCCCCTGGCAGCAGGCTATTTCAGTATGACATCACACTGTTTATCTAAACATGCATTTATGTATATACATACACACACTATATTATGTAGTTAGGTTTTCTGTGGATGGTAAAGCATGTCTCTTATGTTGTTTTCATGTTTTAAGTTGACATAAAATGAAAATCAATAAATCCCATAAAATGAAAATCAATTAATTAATTGCAGAAACTAATTAAATTAAATTTTTTTTTTTTTAGTTTAGAATGTTTTTGTTTATGCCATTTTATTGTTTTTTTCAGTTTATAATATTCAATTTAGTTTTTTATATTTTGCTGTTTTTTTATTTTGTTTTTATGACTGATTTATTCATTTAGTGCAACTGAGTGTATATACATAAATTGATTATTTAGGGATTGACACAGTGGAATGTACATCCACTGACTATCTAAGCATAGGCTCAATGGTTGGTTGCCCCCATAAATCAGATCTCAAAAACAATCCAGTGGCGGCCATGTGTACGACTGTTAAATTGAGCCCTACATATATATATATATATATATATATATATATATATATATATATATATATATATATATATATATATATATATATATATATATATATATATATATATATATATATATATATGTATATAGGGTATAGGGCTCAATTTAACAGTCGTACATGGCCATCTCTGGATTGTTTTTGAGATCTGATTTATGGGGGCAACCAACCATTGTGCATATTTACTGTTTAACAGTAGAATATGAACAATGGTTGATTATATGGTTATTATATATATATATATATATATATATATATATATATATATATATATATATATATATATATATATATATATATATATATATATATATATATATATATATATATATATATATATATATATATATATATATATATATAGTATATATATATAGTATATATATATATATATATATATTTATATATATATATATATATATATATATATATATATATATTTATATATATATATATAAATATATATATTATTTATTTTAAGATAGGATATAATTATTTAGGAGTTCAGGATAGGATATAGTTGCGAATTTCTCGTATAGACATAGTGGGCACCTTTTGGAAATATTTGAGTAGGGGGGTACAGATTTCAGAATGGACCATGTAAATATGGGGTTTCATTAAAATTGTTTTTCAAATCCCAGACGTAGTTTGATAAGGTGGTGGACTTTTTATATTTAACATTATTGAATGATGATTTGTGATTGTTGTATCTGTTTTTCCACTCGCCTTCCGTTAATCCAATATACACTTTGTTGGGCTGATTTTTAGCTGCGATGATACATTTATATATAATGTTTGTGGATTTACACTTTCCATTCATGGTGCATTCTGCTTCCTTTCGACAATTGCATTTTTTGTCATTATTTTCATTTTTTGGGAAAATAATTTTTTTTTTTATGGTTTTTAATAATTTTTTCGATATTTTCAGTACAGCTGTGGCTAACTTTTGCGGTGTTTCTGTTAAAGACTTTATGTTGTTTTTGTGTTTTAGGAAAATTTTCGTCAAGTAATTTCAAATATATTTTTGCGACGTTAGTAGAGACGTTTTTGTTGAATGGGGGGTTAAACCATATGATATTGCATTTACGATTTCTTTATGGTGGATTTTGTTTGATATGATATTTTAGTGAGTTGTTTTTATATCCACCATTTTTTAGTGCTTGTTTGTATTCGTTTTTGGATTGTTTAAATATAGCTTCATTTGGGGAATTTTGTGAAAGTTTGTTGCTTATTGAAGTAGGTAATTGTTTAAGGATTTGTGGTGGGTGGTTAGAGGATGTATGAATGTATTGAAGATTATTGTTAGGTTTTTTGAATGGTTTATAGGTGTTTTGGGATATATTAAAAGTGACATCAAGGAAGTCAACTGATTTAAGATTTGTTTTTAGATCTATTTGAAAGCCTATGTTTTTAAACTTTTGAATAATGTTTTTTCGAGTTCGTTCAGTTTCTTGGCCGTTAGAACTACGTATTATTAATAAACCGGTCATCACGGTTTATTAATAAAACCGGTCATCACAATATAGCCCTATATCGGTTTTTATAATTATATCGGATATTTCATTAAGTATGTGGATTCCTACAAGTTCTCAAATTTCGGCGCCATCATAGCTGCCCATCGTGATGTCGAAACTTTCACAAGGGATTTTCGGCTGTGTTTTATTATTCTAAGTTGGTCGTCTGTTATGGGAGTGTGTTATCCATTATTGAATATACAAATATAGAGTGCTCAACTAAAAACTATTAGGAGCGTAATACGTGGGTGCATATATGTAAATATTAAAGATGATTTCTTTATATTATCATGTATTTTAAAGAGTGCTCAAAAGATAAACTAGAGCTATATAGTATATATATTACTGTTACCCGCAGTATCAGGAATTAGCTAAATGCTAATATTTATAATATTGTATTGCGACTTGAAGTTTCATGTGTTACCACAATCATCAGGCAAGTAGTCAAAAGTTAATTTTGGTACAATGTGTTTAGAAAAAATTTACGGTTTATATTAGTATTTTAGATTGTTATGGGACGGATATTGTTTAGTAGTTAAGGTTAATGTTATTATTAATTTGTTTTTGGTTAAAATATGTGAAGTTGTTGTATGTTTTAATGTCTGTTATAAAAATACGATTTAATAATTATGTGAATTGTTTTTAAAAAATTATTGTATTAAAAATAAATGAATATAAAAATAAGTTTCAAAAGTGGGTATAAGAATATAAATTATACTCGAAATATATTACAAAAGCTGTGTATGTGAATAATTTATTGGTTAGCCTAGAGGTGTACGAAATAGGGTTGCGTAGTTAATATTAGTGGTTAGTTAGGTTTGTAGCAAGCTTTGTAGTTTTTTTAATAAAAACTAAAAAAAAACAAAAGTTAATATATATATATATATATATATATATATATATATATATATATATATATATATATATATATATATATATATATATATATTAACTTTTGAATAATTACAAAAATAAATCTTTTTAAAAATAGGAATGTTGGAGCCATGTTAATGTTAGAAAAGCTGTTTTTCCAAAACTCTGGAAAATGTTGAAGAATTGTGGTTATGGTAATATTACCATAATTTATCCCAATTTAGTTTTGTTCCTAAGCCACCTGCCCAAAGAGGTAAAAAAATTTGTAATTAAAATGTAATAAATTTTTAATATCTTTATTAACAATAAATTAAATGCTTTGCACAAAGTATAAAAAATTTTTCATACAAGTTAAGATTAGCTCACTAATTCATCTAATAGGCTGGTCTAAATGTTAAGCAGTGTTACACTTATTCTTGCCTAGGATGATAAACACTGGATCTAGCTTTTTGCTTGTGCCTTACGTACTACTAGAAGTATAATCTACAAAACTCCTGTTATCTCCTAATGAGAGTGCAGCTCTAAAACCTTTGGTTTAGAGTTGCATTTATGTTTTTTTATCTTATTCATTTTCTTCAGACTCTCAATCTCTTACTCAGATTGGTTAATTTGTGAATCACATCACAACAACCCTACAGACAATTGTCAAGCAATGCAATCAAGCAATTTTAAAACTTATATAACAAACATTTCATAACACCTTATTAGTCCCTAACTTTTTGACTATCAATATAGATTTCAACTTTCTTTCTTGAGTTGGAATTATTTTTTTTCAACAATTTTTTGCTGACCTTGCAATTTTAAAACTTATTTTTATATGCTATTTTATATAAACTAAAAATGGTAAAACAAATGTTTTATTTAAGTTCTAAATAAATTTTACAAAATTTTTACGAAACAACTTAAATAAAACCAACAATTAGCTTGCAAAAGATAGCTTGTTTATTTTCAATTTAAACTCATTAACAGACTGCGATTTAACAACTGAACTAGGCAGTTTGTTTTAACACTCGATTTGTAAAGAAATTTTCATGAAGATCATTTTTGAAATAGGTATCAGTAATTGTATGATGATATGGTTTTCTTAAACTAGCTAGTTTATAATTTTTTTAGGAGGAACCAGCCATTCCATTTTTTCTTTATTTAGCATTTAAAAAATTGTATTATATCTCCTCTTTTTCTCCTTTCGGATAGAGTTGTTAAATTTAATGTGCATAATCTTTTTTTCATATGATAAATGTCGGGATCAATTTTGTCGCTCCTCTTTGTATGTTTTCAAGGATATTTATATCTTTCTCCATAATGAGGTGACCAAACTTGAATTGCATATTCAAGATATGGTCTTACATAGCTTATGTACAATTGTCTAAAAGATGATTTGGTTTTGTATTTAAATATTTTTGACAATAAACCCAGTCTACTATTTGCTTTGGCTACTGCTGATTTAATTTGAACTTCCCATTTTAAATCTCGCAAAATTGATACTCCTAAATCTTTTTCCAATTCAGAACTTGTTTAAATTAACCTTGCCTAAAAGTATATAAATGTTTTGGATTTAACTTGTCAATGTGCATAACCTTGTATTTATCTATATTTAATTTCATCTTCCATATTTTAGACCATTCTTCTATAATGTCAATATCATTTTGTAGTTTCGAAATATTACTTCTTTTGTCTAATATTGCAATAACTTTGCTATCATCCGCATAAAGCTTGCATAGATTTTTAAGTAATGAACACAAGTCATTAATGTAAAGATTAAACAATAGGGACCAAGAACGGATCCTTGTGGGACACCACTTCTGACTTCTAGCCATAATGAACTAACACCGCCATATATAACTCTTTGACTTCTACTTGATAAGAAAGATCTGATCCAATTTAATAAATTCAATTTTATACTATAAGTCTATAATTTTAGTAGTAATCGTTCATGTTCAACAGTATCATAAGTTTTAGCATAATTGATGTATAAAACTAAGGAAATATGATAAAACCACCGATAACTTTAGATAACTTCGATAACTATATTCAAACAGATGTAATCAAAGGAATATTAAAAACCAAAAGTTTTGAGTTTTGTAAATGAACTAGTGCTGTTTGATCGGACAGAGCATCAATAGATCAAAAGACGTTTTATTTGTTTATTATAACTTATTAACACAAAAAGAACTGTTAGTTTTTTGTGTTTTTTTCTGTCTATATAAAGTAATAAAATACTTACAATTAAAACGGCAAACATTTTAATTAAGTTCTCAATGTGAATCTTTTATTTATATAGTAAATGAAACAACTAAAACAATAGCAGAAACACAAAAATTTCATTAACTCTAAATTAAATAATTATGATAAAATCGGCAAATTATGTATTTTTATTTAAATTCTTAATAAAATTGTAAAATAATGCAATCGTTTTTATGCAAACGTTGACGGTATGGCGTTTTGGTTTTTCTTTCAATTTTATGCTGAATTTTTCTGCATTCTTCGATATGTTGACCTCTGTTTCTAAATTTTGTGCTGCTTTAAAAAAGTTTTAGGTTGAAAATTTTTTTGCCAACATTATTTTTCCTAATTCCAAGGATTGAACTCTCTGACAATCAATACACTTTTCAACTCTCTGATAATCATTACACATTTCAACTCTCTGACAATCATTACACATTTTAACTCTCTGACAATCATTACACATTTCAACTCTCTGACAATCATTACACATTTCAACTCTCTGGCAATCATTACACATTTCAACTCTCTGACAATCATTACACATTTCAACTCTCTGACAATCATTACATATTTCAACTCTCTGACAATCATTACATGTTTCAACTCTGACAATTGTTACATATTTCAACTCTCTGACAATTGTTACACATTTCAACTCTCTGACAATCATTACACATTTCAACTCTCTGACAATCATTACACATTTCAACTCTCTGACAATCATTACATGTTTCAACTCTGACAATTGTTACATATTTCAACTCTCTGACAATTGTTACACATTTCAACTCTCTGACAATCATTAAACATTTCAACTCTCTGACAATCATTACATATTTCAACTCTCTGACAATCATTACACATTTCAACTCTCTGGCAATCATTACACATTTCAACTCTCTGGCAATCATTACACATTTCAACTCTCTGACAATCATTACACATTTCAACTCTCTGACAATCATTACATATTTCAACTCTCTGACAATCATTACATGTTTCAACTCTGACAATTGTTACATATTTCAACTCTCTGACAATTGTTACACATTTCAACTCTCTGACAATCATTAAACATTTCAACTCTCTGACAATCATTACACATTTCAACTCTCTGACAATCATTACACATTTCAACTCTCTGGCAATCATTACACATTTCAACTCTCTGGCAATCATTACACATTTCAACTCTCTGACAATCATTACACATTTCAACTCTCTGACAATCATTACATATTTCAACTCTCTGACAATCATTACATGTTTCAACTCTGACGATTGTTACATATTTCAAATCTCTGACAATTGTTACACATTTCAACTCTCTGACAATCATTAAACATTTCAATACTCTTGTTATTCTACTGACTTTTTGACCATTATTACAGAAAGGTTTTATTGTACACACAAAGGTTTTATTGTACACACAAAGGTTTTATCGTACACACAAAGGTTTTGTACACAGAAAGGTTTTATCGTACAATAAATTGAAGCAATTAGGCAAGGGCTATTTGATATTGATGCATCAGCAACTTTTGATAAAGTCTTGCATGTTGGTTTTTTCTAAAAACACTCTTCATATGGTGTTTTTTCAAAAGCTTTTATAATTAATAAATCGTTTGTTTCTTACCACAATGTTGTAGTTGTCTTTTATAAACTAAAACTCTCCTTTATCTCCAATAACTTTATTTATTATGTAATAGGTTTTTTCAAAAATTGTTTTCATTTTCAGAGCTACGTTAGTTTCAGAGCTAGAAAAAAAGACAACATTTTCTAGTTGTAAACAAATTTTTTTTTCATAGATTGTAGGTGCAGAAAATTTCTTTTTCAATGAATTCTTGTCTTCACTTACTGAAGGACTCTTAACTAATGCAAATGTTTTATTACCTGCTGACGTAAAGTTGCTTATTAATTCTTACAAAGAATGCTTTCAGTATATGCTATTGCAGAATATCACAAATGAAAAAGTGAAGAATTACTTGTTAAATGATCAGGTAAATTTATTGCTTTGTAATAGTAATATTAATAGTTTTTTTTCTTTTTCTGTTTTTATTTCAAGGTTTTATTTATGGTAGTAACTAAAATCATAGTCATAAGAAATAGATAGTCTGGTCACACTAGATAGTCTGGTCATTCGAGTCAAATCATGTAATTTTTCTAATATTCCTTAAAAACACTTGAAAACTGTCGAACGGCTAGGAGCAGACTGCACAAAGTATGAAAACAGAAAAAGAGTTCAATGGTGAATTTGATATTGAAACATTTTTTTTTTGGAGATTGACTTTCTTTTTGCAGATGAAAATTTTAATAAAGATTTAGACGCCTTAATGTTGGTGTTGTCTAGTTGTTGAATATTTTCTTGAATATTTTTTTTCTCTAAGAAGTGCTTATCTCAAAAAGGCTTTACAAGACAAATTCAAAACATCAAAGTATTTTTATGATCATTCTAAACTATTTATTCTTCTCAGCAAATTTAAATATCTGCTCGATACTACATTTCTACCTTGATTGATAACGAATGCTATCCTGATTTGTATAGAAATGAGTTGAGAATTAATCATACAATGCTATTAGAAACTTCACAACAAACCCTATCTCTATTAGAGGCAACAATAGCTAGTTTTAAAGCTATTGGTGATACAGAAAATTTTATCTTTGATTTTGCAATAAAATAAATTGTGATAGAAGAATTTTCTTTAATAATCTGACCAAAAAACAACTAGACTTCTTGGCTATAAACTATGCAATCATGTTTTAGCGTTTCTTACAAACTCATTTTACAATAATTCTTTTGTAAATTTAAATGATTTATTGCCTGTTGAACTTTCAGATAGAGATAAAGAAATTATCTTATATCTAAGTGGTTATGTATTCAGTACATTTTACTGCAGAGTTCATAGTTCACGGGTCTGGCAGTAAAAGTTAAGCACAGACTGCCTTTTACTTCTTAATGCTGCTAAAAAATAATATTTTTTTAAGAACCCTGAAACATACACTGAATCTTACCAAAAATTTGTAAATGCTAAAAATTGAGGTGGTCTTGTGTCTCCTTCAGTTTTAGAAATCTTTCCAAAAGTTGAGGTTCTCTTTTGTCAACAAAGTAATGGTTTTGTAAAAAAAATTGATTCAGAACTGATTTAAAAAACAGTATTGTTATGGCAAGCATATCTGAAACTTCGTAGTCTTTGCACAAATTGAGTATCCAAAGAACTGTCTTTAAACTTATTTTATTGTCTGGTTACACTTCATGTTAGAATAAGATTATTTTCATATGCAAAAAAAATACTAAGTATCCACAAACTTAAAGAATCAAACTCTGTTCAAAAATAAAAAAAGTATCAGTTGATTTGAATAAATAGTTAAATGGAATATTACATTCTAAAACAGCTATTTTCATAGCCACAAATTTCACAAAAGCATACTTCGCATAGAAACTCATTTATTTGTCATAAAAATGTTAATTTGAAAAAATATTTTGATTTGTTTGTCAATAATCTATATGTAAGGCCTTTAAGAATTATGGTGTCGTAATGACATGTTTTGGGAAAAATACATATTTTTATATATTCAGTGGTACCTATAAAAAATAAATGAGCTTTAAGAAATTCACCCAGTATCACCCCTGGTTACCCGCTAGGTCCCATATTAAAAAGTTTTTAAAAAGATTTGTGAAGATGTTTACTATAAGAATTTTATGCCATTGTTTTTAAAAAGATTTGTGAAAATGTTTACTATAAGAATTTTATGTTTTTAAAAAGTTGTTGTAAATCTTTTATTGTCATCATCAGCAAATAAATTATCAGTCCAGTCACATCAACATGACCATTATTATCTTTTTTCTCATTCAGATTAAAATGCATTTTTAAAAATTTTCTATTCGATGATTCTTCATTACAAGCTTCTACTTTTAAACCAACTTAGATTTCTAAAATGCCTACAGCTTTACAAAATAGAGAAAATAACTGTACTGATGTAATATTTATAGTAGCAAAGTTGGCAATAACGGTACTGATGTAATATTTATAGTAGCAAAGTTGGCAAAACTGTATTTGAAAGGATTTACAATACTTCTTATTAAAAAACTAATACATGAGAAGCAAGTTTGTCTGCCTGTTGTATTGTTACAAAACAAGATTTTCTTGAATTGTCATATCATCCAGAATTAGGGCAATAAACTTTTCTTAAGCTGAAAAATGTTTGTCTTTTAATTTTATTTTTTAATTCTTTGATTATATTTTTATTAAATCCTAACTTTATATTATTTTTCACATAATTTTTATAGTCACGTAATCGCCTATGACTTGGTAAAACTAAGAAACCAAATTATTTTTCTTATTTAATCGTACTGCTTCATAAGCAGCTGATGATTTTGCAGCTAATTCTAAACAGTAGCATATTATTGCTGGATGATACCAAATCCTTTGTTTTGAGCTTTTTAAATATTTTTGCTGCTCTTTCCAAAACAGGCTCATAAATGGGGAAATCTTGCTTTTATCAGCTTCTGCCATTATTTGAACTAAATCAATTTTAATATCTTTACTTATAGCTAGTAATGATTTTCAATCTCCTGCCTCATCAAAGCTAATTCTTTTTTTAATTCTTTATTTTTCAGACGAACACTTTGTAATGTAAGTTTAAATTTTGATTTCTTTATTTCAATGCTTTTGCATTAAAAACAGCATTAATTCAATCAGCATAAAACATGACTGAGATCGGAAATAATTTGTCTGATTTAAGGGAAACTCATTCCTAGTTAAAAAAATTAAACTTTTTTGAAATACAATGTTTAATATATAAATTTGATTTTAATGCAAATACATCAGTTATTCCAGAACAAAGGCTAAGAGAAATAGCAGCAGAATTAAGATTTGAAGCTGAAATATGTCGAATTGATCTTCTGTATTTTGTATATATTGAATGATCATCTGGAATGAGACAAGAATATACACGAATGGTAAAAGCGAGACTGTCATCAACATTTCTTTCATATCAAGGACATTAATGGATTATGTCATAAAGTTTAAATTCTGCCACAACAGGACTCACACTCACTGTCCAGACACAAATTTTCAACTTGCTAATACGATTTAGGAACTCTTTCTATGATTTATATATAGGTTTAAAAATAATAATACTATTTATAATCATTGAAGCATCTCTTTTAGCAATGAAAGAAGATGCAGATTTCCTTTGTATAGAAATTGATGGCGTAAAACTTTTTTTTGGTAGACACAGATGGTAATGATCCAGATATTTGTGACTTTCTGTTATCATTGTGAAAGATGATGCATTTCACAAATAAACTTACTTTCTATTTGAGCCTTTAAATTTATATCTTTAGTACGATCATTGATCAGAATAATGGTTATTAGATTTTTCCTCAAAGAAGTATTAAAACTGTTGTTAGATGCAGGAACTGTATATGTTGAAACTCCCTTATGTCTTTTAGAAGTACTGCATACATAAATAGAACAATTAGCACCAGGTATTTAAAGAATTGAATGAAGAAGATGCAATTTAAACAAGTAGTTCATAGACAAACAGTTGATATAAATTTTGTGCACTCTGTGGTGGACTAGACACTTGCTAGAAGATGCTAACAAAGAGTTGATCAAAGGAATACCGCAAATGGTCAGACTATCTATTTCTTATGACTATGCTAAAATGCAAACTGTGAACTGGTAAAATTTAAAGTTTTTCGCAAACCATGGTTCTATTGGTTGTTAATGATGTAATATTTTATTTTTTGTTTGCTGTTAAATTGTTTATTTTGCAATATATTTTAAGGACCAATATTTTAAAGACTTCAATTTTATTGATTTATGTATGGAAACTAATATTGATTTATAAAAGCAAAGAATAAATATAAAACAAAAAATGAAAATAAAACTAAGATTTAAATAAAGGATATGATATTGAAATTTAATTCCATTATATTTATCTTAAAAGAAAGAATTTTTTTATTTATATATTTTTTTTTTATGTTAATTCACCTCCCAAGGCTGGGAAAACCACTACAGTCGAGGAGGCTACCTTTTAATTGTGGTTACAATCCTAACCCTGGTTACGGACCTTCTTGCTTTTGAAGCGAACACTTTATCACAAGTGCTTAAATTGAAGAGCAGGCATTTTAAAGATTCATGTTGAGATTATTAAGTAGGGCCCTGCAAATCGATTCGATTCGCAAATTAATAGCTTCTTTGATTTGAAAAAATTAGTCAAGTTTTTCGAATCATTTCTTTGTTTTTATTGTTGTTTGTTTTCATACGCACAGCATTTAAATGTTGTTTAAAACTTAACATGTCTTGGAAAATTCAGCGGTAATGAAACTTTGTAACTTAATTTAATAAAAATAATTGCCAAGTAACACGTTAATTGTATAGTTAAACGACTATTGTTTTGCTCAGTGCTTTTTGACTTCTTTTTCACTGAAAGTAATTTTAAGTTTCAAATTTTTTGAGTGCTGCAAACTGGAAATAAATAAAAAACTGTTAATTATTTCACTTTAAGCTAAAAAATGACTTCCAAAAATCTGTATTTTAAGAATTCTTTGAAAAAAAAAGAACATTCTAGCAATGCAAACAGAAAAATTCCAATAAAAAGTATTCTGTTCAGGAAACTGGAACTTTATCTTATCTATGGAACCATTTAAAACATGACTATAAAAAGCTACACAAAGAATCTAAAAAGTGCACGTCTGCTACAAAAAAAAGTTCAGATAACATAATGAAAATCATCAGACTCTTCATTAATCTCACATTTTATTGGACCTTGAGTAGATACAGTTATTAAAAAAAAAGTATGATTTTGCAGTGCTAGTTGAAGATGTAAGATCATTTGAGAAAGCCATATCCATATCTTCTGGATATGGCTTTGTCAGTTTGTGCTTGGTGTTTATTCAAAGCAATATCTACCACTAATTCTGACCACTTTATCTCGAAATTTGTGTGATATAGTTGATGACCTATATAATAGTTTCCAACAAAGAATAAAA